TTTTAAAAATAATATTTTTTTAATAATTATTTAATATTAACAGTTTTATTTCCTCATATAGGGTGTCGATTTTCTAAGAATCAATTATTTTTACAAATTTTCAAGTATAGTGTATATAAATATTTCAACATGGGGAACAGATTCTCCAGATGTATGTGTGTGGATGCATTTATTTGGTAGACACATTCTTAAGGCCAAATCGAAATGTTTTTTCAACATTTCGATGAAAAAAAATACTTTTTATTTCTCGTGAAAATTTTATAAATTTTGAACCTTTTTTTTAAATTATTAAATTTAAATTATTATTAAATTGTTTTTAATCAAAAATCTTTTTATTTTTATTATAAATATTTATAAAAAGGCAATAAGTAATTACTTAAGTCATGTAAAACGTTGACTTAAAATCATAACCTCAATTCGTTCAAATAATTTCACCGGCAATGTCAAATAAGTTCATCTTATTTGACTATGAATACTTGGCGTTCTTAAGATGGGACTATGCATCTCAAAATCGAACAATTTACTTTTCCAAGCAAATGCTTAAGTTGCGGCTTAAGGCAATGCTCATTGCACGACTATGAATCTAGGTGGCAGCTTAAGTCGCTGCTTAAGAAATAAGTATCGACTATGAATACCGCTCATAGTGGCAAAAATCAGCATCATTTTGGGGGATCAGAGTTACTATGAGCGGTATTCATAGTCGATACTTATTTCTTAAGCAGCGACTTAAGCTGCCACCTAGATTCATAGTCGTGCAATGAGCATTGCCTTAAGCCGCAACTTAAGCATTTGCTTGGAAAAGTAAATTGTTCGATTTTGAGATGCATAGTCCCATCTTAAGAACGCCAAGTATTCATAGTCAAATAAGATGAACTTATTTGACATTGCCGGTGAACTTATTTGAACGAATTGAGGTTATGATTTTAAGTCAACGTTTTACATGACTTAAGTAATTACTTATTGTCTTTTTATAAATATTTATAATAAAAATAAAAAGATTTTTGATTAAAAACAATTTAATAGTAATTTAAATTTAATAATTTAAAAAAAAGGTTCAAAATTTATAAAATTTTCACGAGAAATAAAAATTATTTTTTTTCATCGAAATGTTGAAAAAACATTTCGATTTGGCCTTAAGAATGTGTCTACCAAATAAGTGCATCCACACACATACATCTGGAGAATCTGTTCCCCATGTTGAAATATTTATATACACTATACTTGAAAATTTGTAAAAATAATTGATTCTTAGAAAATCGACACCCTATATGAGGAAATAAAACTGTTAATATTAAATAATTATTAAAAAAATATTATTTTTAAAAATTTTGTAGTTCCAAACGAAAGTTAATTGTTTCACCCCTTTTGTATGCACTCTTGGTTCATTGGTTTAGAAAAAAAAGATTTTGTTCAAAAAGTTGCAAAAAATTCATTGTACAATAACTTTTTTTAAACAAAATTTTTTCTGTCGTTTGTTGGCGTTTAAGAGAGACAATGGCCAAATAAAAATGTTTTTTTTTCATTTCGATTATAAAAATACTCCTTATTTTTTGTAAAATTTCACTGATTCTGACTCAGAATAATTTTTTTAGAAACAATATAATAATAGTTGAAATAATTTTTTCTACCTTTTAATATAGAAAAATTTAGAATCTAAATATAATTTTTCGTCAGGAATAAAGAATATTTCAATTTTTCATCATTCTGGTAGTCATTTTTTGTATCCTTTTACTTTATAACTTTTTTCCTAAAAATATTAAAATATTATGCATATTTTTAAGTTTTTTTTACCCCCCTCCTCTCCATTATAAGATATTTTATGTGCATTAGCGTCATTTTTTCTAATGAATATAAGCTATCTACCATCGCTTATTGGTAGATACAAGAGAATATTGACGGAAAAAGCCGAACGCTCAATAAGATCATCTTAAGCATTTGCTTGGTCAAGCAATTCTTAAGGTGCATTTCCTTTACCAAGCAGTTGCTTATTTTTGACTATGAATACATATGGTCTTAAGCTCGACTCATTCGAATAAGACCGACTTGATCAAGCAAAGCTTAAGTCCTTGCTTAAGTCGGGACTATGAATACGAGACGCATGATTTTCCCCTAAACGCCAAGTGGTCGAATGTTCAAATGGTCGAATACCAAGTAGTCGAATCGTTAACTGGTCGAATGCTAGAAACATCGAATAGTCAAAACGTCGAATGTTCAAAACATCGACTCATCAATTGATCGAATGTTCAAAACGTCGAATCGTCATTTGGTCGAATGCTAAAAACGTCGAATCGTCAAATGGTCGAATGCTCAATACGTCGAATGCTCAAATGGTCGAATGCTCAAAAGGTCGAATGCTCAAATGGTCGAATGCTAAAAACATCGAATTCTCAAATAGTCGAATGTTCAAAACGTCGAATCGTCAAATGGTCGAATGCTAAAAACATCGAATTCTCAAATGGTCGAATGTTCAAAACGTCGAATCGTCATTTGGTCGAATGCTAAAAACGTCGAATCTTCAAATGGTCGAATGCTAAAAACATCGAATCGTCAAATGGTCGAATGCTCAAAAGGTCGAATGCTCAAATGGTCGAATGCTAAAAACGTCGAATCGTCAAATGGTCGAATGCTCAAAACGTCGAATCGTCAAAAATTCGAAAAATTTGCTTGGTTTAAGTTAATGTTGACTTAAACCAAGCAAATTTTTCGAATTTTTGATGATTCGACGTTTTGAGCATTCGACCATTTGAGAATTCGACGTTTTGAGCATTCGACCATTTGAGGATTCGACGTTTTGAGCATTCGACCATTTGAGAATTCGACGTTTTGAACATTCGACCATTTGAGAATTCGACGTTTTTAGCATTCGACTATTTGACGATTCGACCTTTTGAGTATTCGACCATTTGACGATTCGACCTTTTGAACATTCGACTATTTGACGATTCGACGTTTTTAGCATTCGACTAAATGACGATTCGACGTTTTGAACATTCGACCATTTGAGAATTCGATGTTTTTAGCATTCGACCATTTGACGATTCGACCTTTTGAGCATTCGACCATTTGACGATTCGATGTTTTTAGCATTCGACCATTTGAGAATTCGACGTTTTGATCATTCGACAAATTGACGATTCGATATTTTGAACATTCGACGTTTTTAGCATTCGATGTTTTTAGCATTCGACCAGTTAACGATTCGACTACTTGGTATTCGACCATTTGAACATTCGACCATTTGTCGTTTAGGGGAAAATCATGCGTCTCATGAATACCGCCCTATGAGAAAATATAATCTGCACAACGTTCAGAGGCAGCGCGCTCATGCGGAGAAAATGTAAAGTACAGAATAAGTTTTAAGCAGACGATATTTTAATACCAAATTTCCACCACAGAGGCGCAACCTCTGAACGTTGTGAGAACACTCATAACTCTGATCCCCCAAATGCAGGCTGATTTTAAACCCGCGTGAGGTCTCCTTATACTACTTCGTGTATTTAATTATATTAGTCATTATTCTTTCAGACTTTTTTGGTTAGGTTTCAATATAAATCGTCAAAATTTTTACGCACATGGTGACAATATTTTTACTATTTTAATCGCGCAGTGTGTTTGAAAATTTACCTTTGCAATAATTTGTGTATTTAAATTTATTTTCATTTAAATGTCATAAATAATTAAAAATAAATAGTTTTTGACAAGTGTATAAAATTGCTCGAAATGTATAAAACATCATCTGATTAAGTATTGTATTTTGACTCGAAAATCTAGTGTCATCTATTAAAAAATTAAAATACCAAGTCGTGTTTAGTGTAGTGGTTATAGTTCCGGGTTTCAAAGTGCGTATTCGTTAGGTTCAGGTGTTCGCGTCCCCCCTGCGTCAAATATTTATTTCATAAGTTTAAATTAATTCTAAGGTATATAAATACAAAAACAAATATAAATATGTTCAAATACAATAATTAATTTTTTTCTTTTTTCTTTTAATTAGTTTTTCTCTTTTATTTGATAATAAGAATTTGTTTAGCAATTTCAAATAATTATGATACACAGTGTAAATCTAATATTATTCTCCTAGTCAATTTGACTATTTTTTCCTGATTACATCGACTAATTTTACTGGTCACTTTAACTATGCTTGAATCTTATTACTTTGACCAGGATTCTATAGTTGGCTCCTCTCGTAACTAGGAAACCTAGTCAATTCCTGGTATACGGGTCCTAGGCAGTTTTTTCGGTGTACCATTAATTATAAAATAAAAATTGGAATAATTTTTCTAAACTTCCGTAATATTTGAAACTTTATAAGAAGTCTTATCATTTCTAAAAGTATGAACGTGAATTCAGAAAAACTTTTACGTTAGCTAATTTAAAAAATTAATTAAATGAAATTCAAATTAGAAAATAGAATTATATTCAATATTACAATTGTTAATAAATTATATTTTATTTGTCTTCAAGAAAACTTAAGTACTTTCTAAGTTTAAAATAAATGCAATTAATTTATAATTATGAAAGTAAAATTAAGTATAATACAATAAAGAATTCTTAATCTCGTTATTTAATTAAAATACAAACTAATTCTATAAAAATAAAGAGCTTTTGAAAATATCAAAAAATCTTATTATTAAAGGAATTATTAAATTATTCCAAAGAAAAAATATAAATAAAAACGATTTAAAAATAAAATGTTTCATAAATTAGTTATATATTAGTTATATTAGTTATATTAGTAACCTAGCTCCATCTCTCGAACAAACTTTTCACTTTCCTCAAATATGACAAATGTGGGGCCTTTAGGCCAACGCAGAATAGATCTGTAACCGGAACCGCAATCGTAACCGTAAGCGTAAGAATGAGTTAGAGAAGGATAAACAATATACCTATCCTTCTTTAACTTATTCTTACGGTTACGCTTACGATTGCGGTTCCGGTTACAGATCTATTCTGCGTTGGCCTTAATCAACAGAAGTGTGGATTCCCTATGAGTGTGGAATCAACATTAAAGTAAACCTACAAGCAGAAAATGCAATTACCTTGTATCAGATTAAACGAATGAATTTATTTAAACAAGAGGTTTAAACTTTAAAATTAGCACAAAATGTCGAAAATTGTAGTTGTAGGTTCTAGCATGATTGATTTTACTGCGTAAGTTTTGTTAACTTGCATAATAAATATTAAATTATTGCTCAACTTTTACAAAAATATTATCAGTTTTAATAGATAAATTTATATTGTGAGAGTCATATCATTATTTTTAGATTCAACTAAACTATAAGGGTATGTCAAAGTATTATTATTTCACAAAATTTTAGTTTCTTTTGAAAATTTCCTTTTTCACGATCTAAAATAGCCACTATTATATGTTGTCAACTCTTACTGAGAAAATTATTGAATAATAAAAAATTGTATTCAGGGCGAGCAAAACATATTGGAGATAACTTCCCCATACGGTTTGTGTCAAAATCCATTGAGTTTGCTTTTTGTTATTGATTAGAACTTTGACTTTCCCTTAAGGGGTACAGTAGGTTACAAAAATGCCTTCCTAGTATAAACGTGTCGCACTGATATGTTCCCATGAAAACATGAGCGCGACACGTTCAAACTAAGAAGGCATAAATTGTAACCTACTGTACATGGCGGGCGTGATTTTGGCGTAGAACCTCTGAGAAAGAAGTACGAACGTGGTTTTAATCAGCATAGAAATCACTATATAGATGAGTGGAACTTAAAGAAACCTTTTTTGTCAAAAAATAATAAAATGGCGGCGTTTTTCGATACTGATTAAAATCCACGTTTTATATTTTTTTCAGACGTTTTAGTGACGCAAGATCACGTCCACTACGACTTTTTTGTTTTTTTTAAATCTGCAGAGGCAAAAAAATACATCAGAAAATTCCGAAAAGAATTATTTGTAAAATATTTTGTTGTGAAAATAAATGTGCAAAGTTTCATTTAGATATTTCTTTTTATTTAAAAAAAATTGCATTTAGATATTTCTTTTTATTTAAAAAAAATTGCAAGTAGAAAATTTTGTTTTCATGTTTATACTGTCCTCTTAAGAAACTTGTTTTTTTAATCATAATTGACTCTCTTTATAATTAAACATTCTATATTGAACAATTTTTATAGATATTCACAGCGTTTACCCAAGTCTGGAGAAACAATAATAGGGTCAAAATTTGAGCAAGGTTTTGGAGGCAAGGGCGCTAATCAGTGCGTAACTGCAGCAAGGCTTGAAGCTGCAACTGCATTTGTAACAGCGGTAAAAAAATTGTAAATTTTTTTAAGCCTTAACCCTCTACCTACGCAAGTGACCGTTATCGACAAAAAACGACAATCCGGTCGACTGGTGGGGACTATGGGAATTATATTCAAAAGCGCTAGAGTGGGGATAAGTCCGCGTAGACAGAGGGTTAAGGAGGGTCGACCCCAAATTAAAAATGAGTAGATTTTTACCAAATTTTGAAAATCAACAGAAAATGTGAATATGAATAACCTCCCGAAGTTTCAATAACTTTATAAGCCTATTGAAACGTGTATAAATTAGAATAGAATACGTGTTAATTAACTTTTAAACATTTTTTTATTTATAAACAATCGTTTATGAATAAAAAAATTTTTAATAGTTAACACGTATTCTATTCTAAGTTATACACGTTTCAATGTGAATAGGCATTTTTATTAGAAATTTGACGTGTGTACTTGTTCACAATTTTCCTTATTTTGACGCGAATAATGAGCAAAAATTATTGTTTTTTAAGTATGCGTTGTACTTAACGTAAAGACGCTCAAATGTGCTGATTTTTCACTTCGGTTTCAAGCTCATAATATTAAAAGAAAAAAATTATTAAAAATTGTTCAAGGACAAATCCATACATTTTTGGGGTCGCTCTTTCAAATGGCACGGTCAAAATTTCCAAAAAAATGACGTTTAACCCTTATTTTTTCAAAAATACTCAAAAAATACAAGATTTTGTAAAGTAATTTTTCTTCAGATCCAATTTTATTAGTTGTCATATCGATTTTTCCAAATCATCTTTATAAATAAGATCAGACTTTTGTCTGTACATTGCAAGAATTTGAAAATTCATGTTATAGCTTTTAATATAAATACAACTAATTTTCACTATAAAAATGAAATATATATAATATATCCGAATTTTTAAGCCAAAATCATATTTTTGATTTTCGACAAAATTTTTAATTAATTTTTTTTGTTGAATATTGTTTAATTTTTTATGAAGTTGGTAGTGATATCGGTTGATGTTTTAAATTACACTAGCACAAATAACGCGCGCTAAAGCGCGCGTGAAGTTTCTTGTTTCACTTTTAACATATATATATATATATATATATATATATATATATATATATATATATATATATATATATATATATATATATATATATATATATATATATATATATATATATATATATATATATATATATATATATATATATATATATACACCCAGAGAAAAAAGTTATTTATTTTAACTAAAAGTGTATATTTAAGAAAAATTTATTTGTTGCAAATAAATATTTTATTTAAAATAAATAAACTAATATTTATTTCAAATAAATGCACTAATTAATCTAAAATAAAGAAATATATTTGCAATTTATGAAATAGTATATTTGTAGCAAATAAAAAATATATTTGATTCAAATAAATGTTTGTTTGACTTATAAGTAGACGCCTGCGCATATTGCATTGCTATAGTAAAACAATAAGATGTTTTGCTTTTAACAGTTTAACGCGTACAATTATAAGAGGTTTATTCATCATGAATAGTTAACAAATTTAATTGATTTAAGTACAGAATTTTTCTTTTTAAGTGAAAATTTTAATTAGTACAAAGTAACAGATTTGTATGTGATTTCATTTACATTTTAGTGTCTTATTTGAGATTTTGTGAGAAAAATGTGACAGTGGACTTTTACATATGAAGTGAAAAAGTAAAGTAAAATGACTAACAATAAAAAAACCTGACTTTATTTAACAAATATTCTTATAAAAATAAACATTTATTTTAATGAATATTAAAAGTTCCATTAGTGATTGTGATTGTTAAATTTATTTGAAGGTTATAAGTGAATTTTAATATTTTAGAATGCTTACAGGATTTATTAAAATGAAAAGTGTTTTTTATTTGCTCTAAATATAAAATATATTTAAAGAAAATATAAAATTTTTTTCATTTAAATAAAAATGGATATTTAAACGAAATATATTAATTCAAATAAAAAATATTATTTGAGCTAAATAAAAGTTTAGTTGGTTCTGTGACAAATATCCTTTTTTATTTGTTTGAAATAAATTTTATTTAATTCAAATAAATCATTTCTCTAGGTGTATATATACAACAATAATGTAATTTTTACATTACATGTCACATGAAAATTAATGAAAGCGTGAATGCCGATGAGACGATAATGAAAAATATGTTCATTACATTATTTTTGACTTATTAATTATCAAAAATAAATTACATTTAATTAGAATTAATTATTTATTTGTTATTTTGTTTCTAATAGTTTTCTAGTCAAAATTAATTAATATTATTTTCATATCATTAACATTCAAAAATTCAATTATTCAGAAGAATTCTACACAAAATCACTATTTTTCTAAATTTATTCAGGGAAATCAGGAAAAAATCAGAAAATTTTGTCAAAAGTGCTGGAATAATATTCAATTTCAAGAATTCATAAGAAAATTCTGAATGTTATTCTTGAGCATTGAAAAGATTTTATATATTTCAAACTCTTCCTGTTTTTAACAATAATTAGACTTTACAGATTTAAAATTAATTTTTTTAAATAATTTAATTTTTGAAAAACTATCGAGAAAAAATTATTTTTTATTAATTATTTTGGAATAATTTTCTATTTAAAAATTAAAAAAATAATTGAATTTTATGAAATTTGTATTTAAAATTTTTTTATAAATAATATAAATAAGTAGTAAATGTCACGCCTGCCAAACAAAGTATTTAATTTATTATTATTATTATTATTATCATTACTCAAAAGAAATTCGATTATCTTTACAAAATTTCAATAAAAAATTCTTTGAAAAATTTATGAAAAATTACAAAAATGTTATCTTTTGAAATTATTACAGGTGACAGCTAAAAAAACGCGCGTGTAGTTTCTCCTAGTATTAATAGATAATTAATAATAATGCCTATTAACAATAAAAACTGGTACTTAATCACTTAACTACATACTTAATCACAAAAAATAATTTTAAAAAATTTCGTTAAAAATTGAAATTTACAAAATATATCACTGCTTTGCTAACTTTGCATAAAATTTCATATTTGTGCCTTCAAAAAATGAATTTAAAAATGTTTTGATAAAATTCTTTATCAGACTTAAATTTTAAGAAATTTTAATTATTCAATAAATTATTTATTTTTGCATTTAAATTATTGAATTCTCTAATAAAAATTTATTTCAAAATGAATTTCAGTTAAAGTTCTACATAATAATTGAATATTAAAAGCATTATAGCATGAATTTTAAGAAATAATTAAATTTTAAAATGGTTCCAAATCAAATTCTTTAAAAATTTGTATTTTTCATACTTATAACTAACAATTCTGTAGAATTAATTATTTTAAAAAAGTTTAATTGAATTTTTTTCTGAAATTATTTGAAGTATTTATTTTTTCAAAAATTATTAAAAATAATTTATTCCTGTGGGAAAATAATAATGATTAAAATTTATTTAGAAAAGAAGTAACTGATGTTTTCAAATGATTTTAGAATTAAAGAAATTCGTAAATAAATGTAATGGAACATTTTTTTGGAGTATCTAATCATTTTTAGAGAGAATCAGAATATTCTTTAGAGTCAAGGAAGAAGTCAAAATTTTGTTAAGTAATAAAGTTTTTCATATTAAAAAAAAATAAAATATTTTACAGGATTTACATTTGTTAATTTTCTAAAATATTTGTTACAAAATGCTAATTTTTTAGAATAATAATAATAATAATAATAATAATATATTTATTCTGCTCTATAAAATATAACATTTTGTAGCAGAAGAATTCCGTTTACAATATATTTGATAATATCAGCCTTTAGATTTTTTCTATACTACTCATTCAACATGAACGCACGCAACAACAAACTATTTATTATATAAAAACAAATCTTTTTAATACTCTCTTCATCGGGTGCATTACACATCTGAGTCATCGCTTCACTGCATTCATCACTCAATCCCAATTTTGCCAAATAAAAATTTCTGTAATTACTATATATTGGACAATCGAACAAAAAATGATACAGTGTTTCCTTTTCTTTTAAATTGCAAACCATACAAATTGATTCCTGATCCCAGCTGTACAAATTACCCTTATATGAAAATCTAAAATAATGTTTATTTGCTAGTCTTAGTTGTATAAAAATTTTTGTTAAATAAAAATTACGTCGTCTTAATAAATAAAGGGCAGTTTTATCTTCAAGCGATCTTAATATATTTTGCATTCTCGAACCAGAGAATTCAAATTTTAAAATATCTGAAAATTTTAGATATCTTTCATACCGATTTAATGCCAAATCTAAATTTTTCAACCACTCTTCTGGAGAAAGAGTCGTCAATAGGCCTGAAAAATTAATCTTATTTAAAAGTGCGTCAAATTGTGCAGCCCAATTATATTCAAGTACAACTTCAGATCGTTGCATAAGTTCAACTTGACGCTTAAGACAAATCTTCGGTATTCTAGAATCCTCCATTTTCAGTATTTTTATTACAAAAAGGTAAGCCGCCTTAAAAATTTTAATTTCCAAGCTAATTAGTCCTAGTTCTAGTCGAAGAGCAGCATTAAATGTACATTTTGGAAGGGATAATAACTTTTTGAAATGTGTAGTATGTACAGTTTCAATTTTTGACAAATATCTTAACCCCCAAACATGTGCGGCATACAAGGTCGTTGTTGCGTCAATACTATAATACAATTTGCATTGAGCTTCCCATGAGTCGATTTTCCCATTATTTATAATTTGTTTTACAGCCCCAAATGCTTGATTAGCTTTCATTATTGCATTTTCGGTTGCCTTTTTACCCAAAGTAGAACAAGAAAACATTACACCTAGATAATTATACGAGTTTACAATTTTAATCAATTTTCCCTTAAGATAAAATTTTTCTGTTGTTGCTTTGCCTGCCCTTCTGAAGTGGACTATTTCGGTTTTTGATGTGTTAATTTCCAACTCATTAAGTTCACAATATTCTTCTATAGTTTT